CGTAATACTGAAAAGTGGATATCCGTTTTCGGGCGGAACTCCGGCCGCAATTAAATTGCTTTTTCTTGCGCGCACTCTTTTGTCTCGACGACGACCGACCAGATTTACTTTGCCGTATCTCGCCGAGCTGCGGCAAATCGGCTCGCGGAAACGGATAAGCGTCTTCCGACGATGGCCGCAGAGAGTACAACTGTGCGTTTCTGGTTCTGGCTATAGTTTCCGCACGAATACACGGACAGTCCGAACGGACGTCCAGATTCAGCGACTAATATCCGTTTGGTTGGTATTCATCGTTTGATATTATCGTACCATGTAATTTATGTGCCTCTTCCTCTTTCTTCTTCTCTTCTTTCTCTTTGTGCGCTGCGCCTTTATTCAGATTACAATTGGTACTGCTTTCTAACAGTACCAATTTTTTTGAGAAACTTCTTAATTTATGAAGCAGACAATTTATATAATATCTTTGAAGCTTCTACGGTTACATTTTTGTAAAAATAATGACCTTATCAGGTTGCTTCAGGACCCTGATGAAATGAACTGTACTGTTGGCATTTAATGATGCATCATGACACGGATAATAAATATATTAATAATTTAAATTAAATAAAAAGAGAATAATATATACACTGATTCGTAGTAACTTCATTTCTTGCGATGTTTCAACATATGTCATTCCTCCACATGTTAATCCTGACCTCGTGTACTATTTGAGACCACAACTACATTCGAAGCCGCGGAACTTGTCGTCCCTTCGGCAATCCTTGGCATTAATTTTCTATGAAGTCCGGACATCCCATTGTTATCTATTGTAAGAGCCGGAGCGCTATATCTTACCGAAAAGGACAAATCGCCATGTTCATTGTTGTACATATTTGTTGAATACGAAGCCTTATAATATAATAGTTACCTTAAGTAATTAATAACTTTAATTTGTATAATTAATTAATCTTCTATTACAGATATGCCTTTTGGGCCTCGTCGTGAGCGACAACAGCACGATCGGCGATCATTCGATCACCGAGGATACTTCGGAGATCAGCAATACGGACAACAATCTCGCAGCCAATGCCGTGGATCAGGTAAAACGATTTTTTTTCTCACCTCCGCCTTTTATCGATCGCAATCGTCTTACTCTGCGTGACGTATGCGGTTGGATTTTCGAAACCGGTTCGGAGGTAATCCTTCGTTTCCTATTGGATCTGGAAACTTGTGAAGAATCGCGGTCATGGTTCACACAGTGAGAATGGTGAAAAGGGCAAAATGGCTCGCTTGCACGCTCGATCTCGCGATTCGAATAGCGTGTTCTACCGGAATGTACAAGTGCCAACCGCACGTAGGACAGGCGACGGGGAAATTCGCCGTAGGAATGAGGGGATAGAAAGAGAATAGAGAAAGAGTGCCGAGGGAGGAGGGGAGAATGTCACCGAAAGCTCCGGGAAGAATAAACATCTTTATTCACGTCGGCCGCGGAAATAGGTCGCAGAAATCGGATAACTGTGTTGTCGCGCGTTCGGCAAAGCCGCGCGCCGCTTTTACTTCACCTCTAGGTAACTCGGAAGAGTTTTATGCAGTGCCCTCTCCAGTTCCGCGAAGAATGTTTTAAGTTATCCTTCGGACGTCACTGGGTCCTTCTGGCGACCCCGTGATATTTTTCTCCGGTTTGCATTTAAATACCGATCGAAAACGCGGGGATGCGCTTCCTGTTGTTTCCGTCGTGAGTTACTGCTTATTACGCATGACATGACATCCGGGTCGTGTGAATACATACGAGTACGAAGCGAAAGACTTTTCGGCAGAATTTATGACCACGACTTGCGAGAGTGCCATTACGGTCAAACGTTTTCGTTCTTCAGAATTTAACGCTCTATATAGCATCGGAAATCCCTTCCGTTGAATTTAATCCTTTTTGCAGAAGTGACAAATATTTGTATTCAATGAACCTCTAAGTATCAGCATAATTGAATATTTTTTACATAAAAAATTATTCGACATAAAAATTACTTTCCGTTTAATTGAAAAAGTCAACCAAAATAGGAATTATACTAAGGATTTTAAGTTTCCTTTAGATTATGAAGAATGCAAATAATTTTCTACGTCCCATAAATTCTTATAATTGAGAAAGTAAAAGTTTTTATAATTTTTTATATCCAGATATATGGAGACGTGAGGTGAACAAGTTACATTTCTCTAAAATTACGGAAAAGATTTATACACTGGAGGATTAACAAAGTTAAAACATTATCTTGACAGGAAAATCATGAAATTTTTGTAGCATTCTCATTCGGGAACTTCGTGCGCCAGAAGTTTCACTGTTTTATTATTAAGAAATGTAATGAAATTACCTCAGAACAGCTTCCCTACTATTTTAATCAGCAGTAATCCTTGTTGTCATTTCTTTTATTAGGTCAGAAGATCCGTTACAGAAGAACGTAATGAAAGTCGCTCACTTAATATTAAAGTCGAAAAATTGTTCTCGATCAGTTTTCGCTATGTTCCTTGATAATAGAATGATTAATACAGGTCATGCTTTTCTAACGCTGGACTCTTCAATTAACTCGAACCACATGTGACTCCTATGATGGGTCGTTTGCTGTGTGTTCCGGTCTGCGTAACAGTTAAATAGAGTTTTGTCCAGCTGGACAATATTTTTCCAATATATCCACGCGCGGATTAGTTCGAAAAGTACATTGCAATCAATTTCCGCACATAAAATCACTGCGCTTTCACGTCGCATTTTTACGGACATCTTTATCGCTGCCATTAGAGTGGAAATCGCGGAATATCAGAGTAATACAGGCACTATATATTAGCTGACTTCCGATTCTAATAAAATATTTGTCGTATAATAAATTTCGGACAAATGGAGAATACTTAAGTGTCAATTACTAGCAAAAAGTGAGAAAAGAAAAAGTGAAAAGCTCATACGTTTAAATATATCTTTTAAGAAATTACTTATTATATAATTATGTTATATATAGAGTATAAAATTAAATGTAAAATTATGTGACTTCAATATATAAATCGAAAATTAATTAGGACGAAACGATGGCATTTCGACTTCATGCTCTAACTCCAAATGTAGCGTGTCGGTGTTTGCCGGGCGAATTCCAGTCGAAACTCCTGACGCCGTCTCTCGCTCTTTTCTCGTCGGAAGAAATAAGATTATACCTTTCTTAAGTCGACCGAGAGACTCGAAAAGAGAACATTATTGGCGTACTTCTCGACCGCGGTAACGTGCGGTAGAACAGCGCAGCGTGGTATATCGGACTATAATGTTGCGCTCCTTCCCGGTTAGAATTCACTAGGTGGATACGCTTAGGTGACATTAGTGCCATACTTGCGGATGCACTCGCGTCGTTTTCCGTACATTAAATCACCTCTACACGCGATTATACGCGCGCATCCGCAAACATCCGCACGGACGCTCGGCTCCGCGCTCCGAGTCGGCCGTAGCGTGAGTCTGGCGGGAAACTGCAAAGTATATGTAAATTGCACTGACGCACTTCGTAAATTCCGCTGTCTTGCGGAGTAATCGCAATCTCCCGGAAAGCCGAAGGATAACGCGAAACAGGAAAGTATCTCGCTGAATCTCGTCACGGGCCTCGAGGTAAAAGAGAAGTATCTTTCATCCTTGGCTACACATTACTGTTACGGGAAAGTGTACGAACTGTTACTTTAAAGTTCGAAGCGACTTTTAAGCGAGCTGTTATGCTACATTTTGTAATGATTCTTCGAGGCTTGGCTAGTGAAAGGTTCGATACGTGTTATATATTCAAGTAATTTTGCTACCAATTTTCTTTCACGTTCGTCAGTATTGCAACGTTTTTGACATAATGTTTTGAAAAACTTTTTGACACAAAGATGTACGAGATGTAAGTAATCAGGTCTTATTGTTGAAAGAAATGTGAAAGAAATTTGAAAGCAATACATTAATAAATATTAAATTTTCTCTAAATATATAAATTATAAGATTAAGAAAGAAGACAGAGCGCTTTTACTCATTAGACTTAGACTTAGATACTTAATGTGTACACGAAGTACAAACTACCACAAAAAAATGTACACGAAAATTTGTTCATATGTGTGCAGAAATGTATGTATGAATGTATATATGTATACATGAATGTAATTATGTATGTTAGATGTGCACAGATATACATATGTGTAAACACTGTTGTTGGAATTCGTTCGTCTCTTCATCATTTTAATGCGAAATCTTTTTGTCCTTGGCTCAAGAAAAAAGAATCTTCATTACTACTCCATCATAAAGTCTACTATGTAACAGTCCCATGTGTTTCTGGCGTTAGGAGGCGACTCTCTGAACGATTAAACCGAGACAAATTTCGCGCGGCTTATAATTCAAACTAGAAGTAGGATGCCGCAGACGTAGCAAGTTCGTAAAATACAGGTCGCGCGCGCTCGAGATGCTAGAAAAATAGATGTGATCAGTTTTATGGCACGATCGCTGGCATCGCCGAGATACATACTCGAGACGCGACTGATTCCTTACGTGGATACCGATGCTTTTCTTCCGAATGTCATTCCATTCCTGACAACCGGAAGCCGCCTGTCGCGCGTAAAACTTGCAAAACTGCCAGAGGCTCATCGTTATCGCGACACCCCGAACGAGTTTCGCACTTTTGAGGCTCGAAGTACTCGAGATATATTGAGAGCCACTGATCGCGCACGTACGACAATGTCGATTTTGTTCTACCTCATTTTTACGATTTTTATTATTTTTTTTTTCTCACACAGGCGCAAACCACGTTTTACGGAGAGTTGAGAGATGATCGAGCAAACTTAATGGGTTGTTTGAATGAAAAGGGATCCATAGAAAAATCGCTTTCTCCTAGCAAAGTGCGTTACACCTTGCGAAATTGAGTAGCCTATATTGTAAGATGAATGATTGTGGTCGGGTGAGCTTTTATAGAAGTGCCATCTCGACGAAAGTAGTACTACAACGTGTAAGTAATGGACATGATGTTAATGAGCACTTCGATTATATAATCACTTTGAATAAAGCGCTCGGAGTTTTCTTTTTATACCGTAAAATTTATATGAAACGTATATGCATCGTTCTGTGATTTGATTAATTGGAAATTTTTCAAAGAAGATAGTATATTTTTTTAATTTCTAATTAGAGTTCCTATTTTAAAATCTTATATAATAAGGCATTGAGGTGTTGAAAATATAACAACAGAAAATAGAAGATGGATATTATTCTCTCATGTTTTTCATATTTTCTATCAAAATATCGTCAGTGAACTGGAATAATCCTAAAGTATGCACGTACAATCCTATATCGTTCTCGCATAACTCACACGGATAGAAGCCCATTCGATTAATATCAAATATTCGATGGTTAACGGTAACTCTATACCTTTGCGAGATATTCACGATAACCGAGGATACACCGGATAAGGAAAATAAGGTCGTACCCCCATATAGGAAATTGTGCACGATGCATATATCGTATACATATACTTCTACCGGGATATTTCACTGTTTTCCGGTGATTGCATTGCGGCAGCGAATGTAGACATAAAACTAACTTTGCGAATGCGACGGCGTGGATTCCGCATATAAGGCGGATTTGAAAAGCGAATTAGGATGTCGCGGCCGTATCGAGGTATCGTTTGTTTTCGATGTATATGCGTATCGCGTGTTTCCAGGACTTGTCTCGCTACCTCGCGAATACCAGATGAGATGTGTGTCTCGCGAAGTTTCGCCGAGCGCGGAAAATTTGACAGTAACATAGAGACTCCCGGCGCGATTTTCGCGAAATGCAGCCCCGAGATTGTGAGTACCAATCAATTTCCTATATACCACGCGAGGATAGTAATGGCGTCGATTAAAGACATTTATGCGACCGATTGGTGCGGCGAAATTGGTTAATCTATTTGGCTACCTGGTTTATTTAAATTGTTATATTTGCGCGATTTCGACATTGAAATTGAAACGGGCGTGAAATTGGTTTCATCCTTTTAATTAAAAAAAAAAAAAAAAAAAATTAAGAGCTTCGACCATTTGCTGATTAATTTAGAGAAATGTAAAAAAATACCTGTTGTAGTTTGTGCTA